TTTTTTTTTTTTTCTGAAGATGGATTTTTATGGGAAGTGTTGGTATTCTTGGAAAACTTTGAGATGTTCGTGGATCGACACGGTTAAGGTGGTATAGTTGGAATCTGTTGAGAAATCTAGTCAAAAACCTGAATCCAAACAATAAGGTGTTTGTTTGTATCAGCACTTTATTAGGGGGACTGTGTTTGATCCATTTGAATTTTTGAAAATTTGAAATTTGAGAATGAGGTTGAGTGATTAAAAATCTCAGGATAAATGGACATAGATTTTGCTAACAATGAGAAGAAAAAGAGACAAAAGAAAACAATGAGATATGTATTGTAGTAAAAAAAAAAATGTTTGGGTTTTGGGTAGATATTGAAATTTGTAAGTACATTTTTTTGTTAGAATAGAGAGTCTCATGTTACTACAAGAACAAGATACTGTGCAGGCTTGCAGCTCCTTCATAAACGAATTCGTCAAATGCTGTTCGAAATTTTGATTTGCGTAATTTGGTTCACTTGTTCTTTTTATCATTGGTGATGATCTGCAGTTGGATGGGTTCAATCAGTCATATTGTGTTATTTCCATGTTTTTCTTTCATAACTTTTCACTAGAAGCTGATGGATCGTATATTGCAAGAAATACCGAGTTGCTGAGTGTGATTTACTTAAGATAAGAGTGAAAAACTGGTTCTTTTTTAGCTGTGTCATACTTTGCTCCAGAATATTAATACAGAAACTGCTCGATCTTACAGTTCGTGCAGTACAATTGTATTGAACTCATGATAATCTACGATCAAAAGCAATTCTGTTTGATTATTCGGCATGATTTCACATAACTACAGCTTTCATCGTATATACGAAATTCTTACCAACACTTTATTCTTTCTCTAATTGCAGCAGATGATGAGGACACTTTTGCTTTGAACTTTTTTTCTTACACAAACTGTAAACGATGAGGCGTGCAGTCACAAATAGCAAGAACATGTCTTCGTGCCCGGCCATTCGAATCACACGAGCTCGTGCAAAAACCTTGGCAAAACAAAGTGACAATGTTTCCCAAACAAACGCGAAAAGGCCAGCTGGCGGTGAAAAGAAGCTGCCTGCAGGGGATTTAGACGTTTGCCCTAAGAGAAGGGCCGTGTTTAAGGATGTTACTAATGTAACACGACAAAATGCCGATGTGAAATCGAAAAATGCAGGAAGAGATGAGGTAACTAAAATAAATTGCGCAATGTGATTTTTTTTTTTTCAATAATCGCACAATGTGAATTGTTTGATAATTGATAGATGTGAAGGAAGTCATTGAAAAATCAAAAGTATACGGTGTTTGTAGATAGTTGAAAGCCTGAAAACTTCACAGAGTTAAAGATTGTATCTTCGGAGAATGAAAAGTGAAAGTGCTTTATATGCGCTTGTATGAATCAAATCAGGATCATGAAACAAGAATATTGCACACCCGAGCTATCCCTGTTTTTTGAAGATTATACGAAAATTATCGGGTATGATAAGGTAAAAGGTTGCATTTTGGAAATACTGAAAGCCACCCTTTTATTTCTTTATTAACCAGAAATCGCCAATCACCTTTTTTTTTCAGTACTTGTTAACACTATGTTGTATTGCTTGCATTATGAAGCACCATCCTTATGAATCATTACACATCTCATCGAGTAGTTCATATTAGGAAATATTCATTTATTTGAAATACAAATTCGAGCGTTCTATTTCCTTGTCGACAAGTTTATTGATCAAGTGTATTATTTTGGTTGTCAGCTAAGCAAACGTGACAAAGAAGTTGCTTTGCAGGCAGAGGGAGAAGTGGCACCTCTTTGTATTGCTAAAATGCTCCAAATTCAAGAGGAGAAAAGAGAAAGCAGGTTACACTACACGAATAAAAAAATAAAGATGGAATCAAAAGAAATTGTATCAGTCAAGAGCTTGACAACCGAGATAACTGAACCAATTGACCGAAAAACGTCATGCACATTAGGTCCGATTTTTGCGAAGGCAAATCACAGTAAGTTAAACTGCATTGCAAGGTCCGTATTTAGTATAGGATAATTTCATAATAAACTAAGAGAAGATGCAAATGGATTATTGTTCTTCCTTATTCGATTATGCATTGGGCTTCATATGATAGATGACCTCATTTTGTGATTCTCATTCAGATGCATCACACACACGCACACTAAAAAAAAAAAACATGCGAGTCTATCTGTTGCAGATAGTCATGTTAGAAAAATCATCATGATGTGATTTTCGTAACAAAAATGAATAGAACATTTTAAGCTGCTCTTGTTAGAAATAATCACACAATTGCATTGCTCTACAAGAAAGACGAACAACTTATTTAAGAATTTGTGGCCATGCAGAAGATAAACAGCTCTACACGAAAGGAGAGGACTTAAAGAAAAGTGGCTTAATTGATATCGATACAAGAGACAACGATCCACAGATGTGTAGTCAGTATGTCGAAGATATATATCATCACTTGTCCGCAGCTGAGGTTTGTTAAGCTGTAAAAAGGATCATTTTAATGATAAAAAATTACTAAAAATAGTTTAGAATATGAGCAACTGTTTTTCCTTTTTCGCCCTAACGAGTTTTAGTCTTGTCACAGCTTAGCCGTAGGCCCTCACTTGATTACATGGAAAAAGTACAGCGAGATATCAACCCGGCCATGCGGGCTATTCTGGTCGATTGGCTTGTCGAGGTTAGTTCTCTCAATTTATGATATAAGTATTCTTCATAATCTTTTCTTTTGTTTTCCCATTTATTTTCTCGGGGTGGGATTGTGGAAACTTAAAACTACCTCAAAATTTAGCCTCTACTACAAATACTTTCTAAAATAAACTATCTTATGTTGTTGTAATTCTCATGTGCGTCTCTTATCATTGCTCTTGCTAAAAAAATTTCAGGTTTCGGACGAATATAAGATGGCCTCCGATACACTATACTTGACTGTAAATCTTATAGATAGATTTCTATCTCAGTATTATATCGAGAAGCAAAAGTTGCAACTTCTTGGAGTCACCTGCATGCTAATTGCTTCGTAAGTTCGCTCAAATTTAATTCTATGCAATCATTTCAAATTTCTTTTCAGTTTTTTCATAGTTCGACTATACTATTGAGCTTTTTCATATTCATTATATTTTTATGTACCAATCTGTTAAACTTACAGGAAATACGAAGAAATATATGCTCCACGTGTGGAAGAATTCTGCTTTATTACAGATAACACCTACACGAAAGATGAGGTACAAATTCTGTTATACAATCCTTTTTTGTTATTTTTCATCTTTTGTGAACTCTGCAAACACTCTCTTTAGCTTATTATAGTCTAAAATTCGGTTCTGAACTATTTAATAGACCGATTGAACTGAGAAATACATTTTTAATTCATTTTATTTGTTGAACAGGTTGTAAAAATGGAAACTTGTGTTCTGAACTGTTTGAGCTTTCAATTATCAGTTCCCACCACAAAGAAGTTCCTCAGGTACCACCCCAGCCAACTGTTAATTGCAAAAAATACCCTTGATATGCAGTGTAATTATGAAAAGGTATTTCGACTATTGAAACAATCGTGTTTGTCGTATTTAAGCCAAACCTCAGGGGTGTGTTCTGCAATTATCCAGAATTATATACAGCTCTACTTCGAAGTGTTCAACGTTTTCCTAATAAATTGATGTCTGCAGGAGGTTCCTTCATGCAGCACAAGTTTCATACGAGGTTAGGGGAAATTTACGTTTTCCGCACATCCTTTTAGCAATAAATAGGCCATTGTTACCACTAAAAAAACCGGCGCTCCCTCTTTTTTTTCCAGGTTCCTTTAGCCGAGCTCGAATTTTTGGCGAACTATTTAGCCGAATTAACGCTAACAGATTACAGTTTCCTTAAATTCCTGCCATCCCTAATTGCTGCTTCTGCTGTATTTCTAGCAAGATGGACACTTGATCAATCAGACAATCCATGGGTTTGTATTTTTTTTTTTCACACATTCTTGAATTTTTATCTCTATTACAAGTTTAACTTCATCAATTTTATTGATTTATTTAACTTTTATTTTGCAGAATCCAACTTTGGAGCATTACACAAGGTACAAAGCATCAGAGCTGAAAACTGCAGTTTTAGAACTGCAAGAGTTGCAGCTAAACACTAGAAGCTGTCCGCTTAAGGTTATTCGCGAAAAATACAATCAATCAAAGGTTCGTTTTACATCTCTTACTTGTAGCGCAAAAAATAAAAAATAAATAAAATAAAAAATAAAAAATAAAAATCTCTTGTTGTTTGTTTACTGTCATGACAGTTCAAGTGCGTTTCGACACTTTGTTCATCAAAACCTGTGCAATCGCTTTTCTGAAGGAAAACAGGCGGATAAATAGGCGAAAATGGTATTATTTTCGCCGATTTTTTCATTATTGAGCTGTTTCATTCGACTCATGTACAAAAATCACAAACATTTGACTCTGAACTTCAATTCAATGGAATAATTTTGATACTAAATTTCGATACTTTGTCTGAACAGTTGTGAATCATTTCAGACATTCCTTATATATACATTCATAAATGCAAGCACATCTTAATAACAAGAAAGAAGTAGTAATAGATAGATGTATATTACCACTCAAACTTCCTTAAGGTACAAAAGATGTTAGTTTACACTGCACGCCTTCGTTTGAATAATCCAAACGAGCCCCAACAACCATACAACATAGATAAAACGAAAAAAAAAAAGGTAAGGAAAAAAAGATCAAAATGCACAAAAAACTGTATCTAACATTACACGATTCATCTAATGAATTACCAGAACAGCGGTGTTTTCTGCTACTGGTTGAAGACTTGCGATATTTTCAAAGTGTTCCCAAACGAGCTTCCGGTTTTCAGCTACTAATTTCGATTTTTTCTGTTCCTCTCGAAAATTGCGAATGCAGGATGATGTTAAGGCATCATCCATGTCCATTAGCATTTTTCGTACATTTAACGTTAAGTTGAGTACAGCCTGATTCCAGTGGCTCTGTGTGTTTTTTTCCAGAGCTGGGATTATTATAGGCAGAATAACTTTTCGATTGTGTGAAATAAGGTTCAAGATTTGGTCGTTATTCCAAAAAAGCAAGGCCCTCTCAGCTACCTGAACAAAAAAAAAGGGGGAAAGAAATAATAAGAGTAAAATGATAGGCTTATGATATTTATATTGAATCGATAAAACTAAAACCTCAATCCAACACTTTGTGTGATAGTAAAAACGAATTCTATACATTCTGTTGAATTTGTACTATGGACTTTTATTAATAGACATATAGCAATTTCCCATCAATGTTTACACATTCAAAGGGCTCCAATATAGAGATTCACGAGAAACAAATGAAGGAGAAAAAACATCCTGCATTGCTGTAAGCTTTAAGAAACAGGCAAAATGCAATATATTGCTAATTTTCCGAGAGAGTGAAATGTGATCCTAATCCGACTGCCATCAATACACATTGGATCAATTCAAATAATTAAACCATCTGTAATTTATGTTTGGTAAAGTTGATAGCTGATAAGCTAGCTTATAAGTGATTTTCGAACTTATAGTTTATTGCTTATCACTTATGGCTAAAAACTAGCATATATGATAAATGTGTGTGGTAAAATTAGTTGATAAGTTAACTGAAATAAAATTTTCAAGGAGCTTATTTGAAAAACTAACCAAAAAAGCTCAGATATAAGCTCGGGCTTTTTAAAAAAGTCTGTCCTACCAAACGAAGCTTATAAGCTAACCAAATAAGCTATAAGCTAGCTTATTTGGTTACCAAACGTAGTCCTATTGATACTGCACAAGAAGGCAATCAGTATGTCCATTATCTTATATTTTTTCAAGTGGGAAAGCCTGATACCATGTAGCAACTTGCATGTCTAAAACTCTAAATACATAAAATGTGCCATGTATAAAACCAAAGTGAACAAAATAAAACTAGTAAAAATCACTGGAAAAAAAAATACCTGAAAATGATAACTATTTATGCAACATTTAATCCGACCGAACAATGGGACCATGATCCTCTGGAATTCGTCCATGCCGATCATCTCTAAAATCTCCTCAACCTCGCCCAAAAACATCACCTCCTTTTGACTGCTCGTAATCGGCCAACACCTTAAAAGCCCCATAATCACACCGCTAGCCAGAGTAGGCTCCTTCTCGACAAACTGAGCCACGCAATAGGAAAGCTGCTGAAAATAAACGCCCAACGACTTGGGCCTGTGCAGAGGGAGCAAAGCTCTCCAAAACAATATTTTATGCTCCTCTTTCAGAGGCAGAGCAAATCCCGTAATCACACTCCCGAAAATCTCAAGCAGCTCTGCTATCCCATTGTGCTTTTCCATCTCAAAAACGAATCTGTAAAACACATTGCTTAAGCTTTTTCTTATGAACGGCCTGTGAATCATGAACTTGCCGTAAATCCTGTGGAGGATAGCTTTCAGACAGTCCCTCTCGCGAGGGTCCTCCGAGTCGAAAAGGTCGATGATTCTCGATATGAACGAGTGATCTACGTACTTCTTTGCGATTTTCGTGTCAAGGAAAGATAAAGTCACGAGCTTGAGGAGGAAATCATACACTATCTGCAAGTGGGCCCACGCGGGCTCGAATACGGGCTCGGCCCAATTGTCGTTCTCGGCCGGGCTGTGGGCCCTCGAGCGAGTACCGGGTGGGAAGACTCGGAACAGGTTGATTGCGCACATCTTGCATGAAGCTAGGATCGCGGGCTCGGGGAATTTCGGAGGGTTTTCGGATATGAACTCGAGAAGCTCGAGCAACGTGGCCCGTTTGAGCTCCTTTTCATGAATGTGTTTGGAGGGGTCTGTGAAGTCGAACACTACACAGCATAGACTCAGCTTGCTGATGAATAGGTTCATTCTTTGTGAGCTCGGGACATCCTTGAAAGCGAGGAGAGGCTCGATTCCAGCAATCGTGCTGGCTGGGAACACCGCCGCGGCTGAAGCCCGTTTAGCAGCGGTGTTGGCCGGCCCGTGTAGGCCCGAATGTTGGGATGGTGGATATGGGGCAGAATTAAAAATAGGGTTTCTGGGTGAATCTTTCCGGGGAAGTTTACTGAGGAATTGCTTCCACATTCTGGGTTTTTTTCAGGTTTTTTTTCTCCAAATTGGGTAGAGAAAAAATGGAAATTGTTAAGGAAGAGCAAGAAAGTAGGCCAAACCAAAGTAGTAAGTGTGCATGGACGATGAAATTAAGGATCTGAGCACAAATGACAACAGGAAAATGCACAAAAAATGAGATCTTTGAACAGTTTCTTGAATCAAAGGCATGCCGTAAATCGACTAAATCAAGAAAAATGAAAAATCGAAAAACAACACCCCATCAAAGAAGAAGCCAAATTGCAGCATGAAATGCATAAAGATTATACCTTTGAACAATATTCGGGCTGAAAAAATAAAAAATAAAATTAGAAAACCCAGATCAGAAAATAACCACAAACACACAATCACATGCCTATGTATAGGCGCAAATCAATAGCAACTAAAAAAGCACACGAAAATGCATCATTCTGTGGGAGACAACAGATATGAGTGACGGTTCGAATAGCAAAGTAGCTGTATTTAAGTCGAAAATCACCTAGGATTCCTCAGACTGTAAGAAAAAACAAGAAAAGGAAAACAAATAAACATAGGCAGGCACACACATGCAGGCTACAGAGGAAAGCTGGACCTCCAATTATGCACACATTTTATATCCACATGTGTGTGTACTTGCACACAGTGTATGTATGAGTTATGAGAGAGAGAGAGAGAGAGAAAGAGAGAGAGAGGTAGTGCGTGTGCGTGTGTGTGTGTGTGTGTGTGTGTGTCATGGCTTAATTATGTAGATCTGCCATGAATGGGTGGATTTGGAAGAAAATTGGGGGAAAATTCGAGGGTTAAGAGAAAGGATTCATCCGTTTCAATAATTTCAATTGAGTTTTGTTTCTTTTTGTTGTATCCTTCTTGTTAAGAAAAGAAGGAACAGAGGCAATGAGTACAGTTTTTTTTACTGTGCCTGCAAATTTATTGCATAAGGTAGTTTAACCAATTCATGGTTCTACCGTCTACAATATTTTGGGTCTAATTCTGATTAGAGCGTCCACAATGTTACGGTTTTACTATCTACAATATTTTGATTAGAGCATCCACCACTTAATATGTTGACACCTGACCAGATTATATTTATTATGTAACACATGTCAATACACTATTGGTGAATAAGTATAGATGACTCCATAAGTCGAGCCATCCGATGGCTCAATAGTGAAACTGATAATTGGACTTGGGTCTTAAGTAACATTGACAAACCCCAGTGAAAAAACCTAAAAACTTTCCAATGCAAAAACAAAAAGCTAGGTCTAGACTGTTTAAAAAAAGGGCAAATTGTGAATGATTGATGACATGGATAAACATATATAAAAGTAACAAAATTGACTCCAATGCAAAGAGACTAAGTCTCTGCTAGGATCTAAATTAGACTTAAGGGTAGATTGTGTTGCTTTTTTCCGCTGCCATGTCACCAAGACCTAGTCCACTTGCAGTTATATTGGAGTATATAATTTTCTAAATTGAGTCTATTTTCTATGTGGCCAGTATATTTCTTTGAATAGACCCAAAGCATTGCAATGTTCACAACCCAATTTATTATTATTTTTTCCTCATTTCAATTTCAAAAGTAACACAAGTTTTGTTGTGGCTCGGTTTAATCATTAGTCGAGTTGATTCAGAATATTATTTTAATAAAAATATACAATTGTGCTATGAAATATCGTACTTACTCTTATACTATTTTTAACATTATAAAATACAGTTTGAAAGTACCATTGTAACTAATTTAACGAATATATTAATGACTTTTTGATGATCGAATAAACCATAAACTTTTAATAATATCAATTTATATAATTATATCTTTGCATTGATTAAGTTGCACATTAAATTTATCCCAGTTTATAGCTTTCTTGACCATTCTCGAGTTTCATATACGCTCGTCTTTCTGCCAATCGTTTTTCTACGAGAAAAAAACCCAAATATAATATCTAAAATGAAAAATAGGGCTTGCTTCTTTATAAAGCATATATCTTATAATATTAAATCTTTACTGCCAAATTATTGACATTGATTCACTAATAATAAAAATAAATAATATAAAAATATGAACTATTAAAAGAAAAGATGAAAATAATATACGCATACAATTAATTGCTGCCTAAATTCACTGGTAAAATTGATGATCATAATAACATTGGTGAAAGGTGAAGACAACACACGTTGACACTAAATGATAATTGCTTTAACGTGTATATTTAGTGAAGATAAATAGATAATTATTTCACTAATGCATATCTAATTATGAAAATAAATTATTATGAGCAAGCTTTAAAGGGGCAAGCGTGCTGCCTTTGGATGATTATACATAAGTGGTGAGAGTCATATTAGACCTAGTTTGATAACCAAGATAAGACAAAATTAGGCCTGCAACCTTAATCTTACATTTGTTGTTCAAGATTACGGCCCGCATGACAAGACTTGGCCCGAGATAAAAAAGCAATTAATTTTGCATATTCAAGATAAAACGATCTCGGCAAGGAGGTGAGATTTTCTTCATCCATACAGTAATCTAATAGGCAAATGTCAAAATTGTTCCCCGCATCTGCCCTCCTCTCATATGATATTATTTTTTTTAATTGAATGAAGGGAGAAGAAAGCAAAATTGTAGATCTACACAATTGTTGCATTCCCTCACTGCCATCACGGTCGTAGGACCAGCCGTCGTCATCGACCCGACCCAACCCAAATCCCCATCCCTCTGACCACCGACACCGCATCCGCTGTTGTCTCCCCCTCCTTTGGCGCGACCTTTTGCATTTCACCTACACCACACATGCCATACACGAGCAGAGACGACGGCGTCGGGAGGCCGTCAATCCTTTTCGCCGCCTCCGTTGGTGTATCGGGAGGATTTTAGGTCTGCTTGCGGTTGAATTAAATATGAATAGAAATTTGACAAATTTATCATATTTTTTTTTTTTAAAAAAATGTTGCTTTTTGAATGAAAGCTAATAGAAAATCAAGAAAAATATCTCTTTTGTTTTGGGTAAAAATTTGTTGTTATTCATCGAGTGAAGAAATAAAAATACAGCACACACATTTGAAGAGTGTGAGACCGTGAATTGGGAAAATAAAAGATAGTTTTTTGTCAAAATTGAATGTGAAGGTGAAATGGATCTTGACTCTGGATAATGCTTGTTTTTTTTTTATCACAAATGGGAAAATAAAAATTGATAAAGATAAGGGTAAAATAGATAATATATAGTTATATCACATGTTTTACCTAATGAAACAAACATTATAAGAAATGAAACATTATCTTAATTATTTGAACCAATAATCATGTATAACAAACATGGTCTAATTTTATCTCCACAGTACAATCTACCCTTTCCATATTAATTTAGTCTAATCTTATCATACAAAACAAACGTGGCTTATGGTATATATTGAATCTAATTATTCGAAATTAGATTATTATATCTAAATGCAATTTAATTTAGAAAGGTTCAATAATTTATGGGAGCAAATTTGCTTTCCATGCACATAAAAAGGTTAATAATGTACATAAAATTATAGTACTAAGTTTTTTTTTAATGATTTATAAGATGTATTCAATTGAGATTTCAAGTGACATTTTCATATTTTTCAAGATTTGAGATTTGTTAAGATTTCCATATTTTGAAAAAATTCAGTGAAATATCCCCCCTATATATCCCCCCCTATATATTAACACAGAATGCGCTGAGCCTACGTGGCTGCTTCTGGTGCTTCGGAATCCTATGTGGCAAAATTACATGCTTCGTTATTAGGCTTGGGTAAATTTTTATTTAATTCCAAACTAAAAATAATTAGGTTCGGATTACCATAAATATGTTGATTATTTATGGTCATGTTACATGTATTAATTGTATTTTAATATCATTCCTTATTATAACTATTGAATTGTATATATATTTTAAAAGTTAATAACTTTTGTATTTTTTATCAGTTTTACATATGTAATATATCAAATTAATCTTCTTTTGATAAGCTTCGATTTAACATCCATATTGTATGTATAAAAAAATAATTTATATTTATCTTTATAACAATAATAAAATTATTTTTAATTTTAATTAGAAAAATAAAATTATTTATCAACTAATATATTTATATTTCAAGCAGTTATATGATATAAGTTATAAAAACTAATATAATATAACACATGTAAGTCATAAGTAACACATATCATTCTAAAATATATAGTAATATATTTTTTTTTTTGTAAAAAAGTAAACTAAATTTAATATAATTTTCTCATTAATTTTAAAATTTAAGAATAATTTTTTCACAAGCACCCGTGTAATACACGGGTATTGTATTAATTTAGTGAAGAAATGGGATTTGAATTGAGATTTCGTATTAAGTTTTTTCTTTAGAAATCCCACCAAATCTTAAAAAGTCTTAAAAAATCATAGTCTCAAATAAATTAAATACACCAAGATTTTGTAAGACTTTTTAGAATCCTAATTGAATACCCCAAAATTTTAAAAGTCTTAACAAATCTAAATTGAGTATATCAAGATTTTGAAAGTCTTGAAAAATCTTTAATTAGAAATCTTAATTAAATACACCCCTAGACTGAGTTTAGACTCAGACATGAGTGAATAAATTAGGTAACACAAATTAGAGTAACTCTTAAAATTATGCAAGGAAATAGCAATGTTACTCAAATAAAAATTTCAACAACGACGATGATAATAATAATAATAATAATAATAATAATAATAATAATAATAATAATAATAATAATAATAATAATAATAAAAAATTAGCAATAATAATAATAACAACAACAATAATAATATTGTCCTTGTTGTTATATTGAGGTTGAGCTTGTGAAAATTCAAACTCGACTCTTTCATTTACTCAAACAAGTCAAGTTCGAAAAATTAATCGAGTTTATTTATTAATTGAGTCGAGCCTTGTTTGTTTACGAACATCCTGTTTTGTTATAAATTTTAAATTAAATAATCGAACTGAACTTATTCGCAAATGGATATGTGATGTAGGGAAGGCGTATGAGTGGAACGATATTAATGAGATCGCAATCTCAAGAACACCAAAACAATATATCAATTCTTATTTCGTTCGAAATAATCAACTCCCCTAATAACAAAACACAACAACTCTTTAAATAAGACTCTTAAACTAAACTCTATCTTATTCTCCAAGCTAATAATAATAATAATAATAATAATAATATTATTATTATTATTATTATTATTATTAT